TCGATTTGATTTAGCGTACCAATTGAACTGGAGCACTACGCTGTCGTCCATTCATAACTACCGGAAGTTAGTACTGGATAAAAACAAATGCTGATCTGCGTAGAACCGAAGAAGTCGATCGCCGTTATTTGTTCGCCGGCAAAGTAAAGAACAATGACCGCCAAGGCAAGCTTCCGATGCGCTCAGTTTTCCCACTTGCGTGTTAGAATCACCGGTGGGCACAGCTATATTGGAGCGTCAGCTTAGCCGAATGAGTTCCGTGAGTATGTCGTAGAACTGATCTGTCTATGCGTCAGAACTGCAGTTGTTCGGTGCATACGCTGAAATGAAGAACAAGCACCTTTTGGTGTTTCTTCCCTTTCGGACGCTGATGGACCCTTGGAGACGTATTGCACATAAGGGACAGTTGACGGGGTCCAATCGCTTAGTGAGCACAATTGAGTACCACAGATGAATAAGTTTAATCAACATTGCTGCTAAACTTCTCGGTGTTATACTTCGCCGATTGTTTGCCTCACGTGAACGGTGCACGCTTGAGAACCAGGCTGGCTCCAGGTTGTATAGACCATATCTTCACTGTTCGTCAAATTCGAGAACAAAGACATTCCTTTCATTGACTGGGCATTTCTATCTTCATCGATCTGAAAGCGGCCTTCGACTCAGATGACCGCTCAAAACTCTGCCGCTGCCTCTCTCTGAAAGCTGTGCCCGACAAGTTCATTTCGATTTTGCTATCTCGTTATGGTGGCAGCCGAAGCGGAATCCGAGGTTACGACACTTCTTCGCCCGAGTTCACTAAAGGAAATGGTGTTCATCGGGTTTACCCTCTCTCCGCGTTTCTATTTCAATTCGTCATGGATTTGATTTTTGAAACAGCATCGATTTCCTCCCAGGTGACTGACTGTTTGATCTGGATTATGCAGACGACATTGCACAACTGAGAGAAGATCCAGGTAAGATTTCTATTACACACTTTGGTGTGACGAACAACAGACGGGGCAATCCCCATAGTCACGAGGACCTGCTTTTGCAAGCTTTTCCGGATAACTTGAGTGCCAGCGTAGCCATGTTCGGTATGTGTTATGCACCTTCGAAGGGTAAAATATTGCTTCAAGATTGGATTGGTTCAGCCCAAAAAATTGCCCTGACTGGGAAAGCAATGGAGGAAGTGGATACATTTTGCTATCTGAGCAACTATATCTCAACTGGAGGACGCGGCACAGATGGAGTGTAGGTACGCATACAGAAGGCAAGACGGTATAAAAACCCGAACCAGGAGACTCGGTCACATTGGGCACAAATATGCGTGCTTTAACCATATGCACGAAGGAATTCATGTTAAAAATTAAGGATGTTATTGTGGAAAACCATATTGCCATGTTTAGAGGGCCAGTTGCTAGTCAGGGGCACAAATACTGCAAACGCGGAAAACTCATCCATGTCTATTGGCAAACTGTCCTTGGTCGTACTACTCCCAGCAAGATGCCTGTACCTACCACTGAGTAACAATGTCCGTTCTGGGTTTGGGAAGCTTCCGGACTTATCCTACCTGCTCCACCGAAAGGAATTTCGCACCTCTTGTGTCTTGTGTCTTCAGGAGTCATGGCTCAATGATGATGTGGACTAATTTCGTCTGCTTCAGACAGGATAGACAACGGTGTAGGAAGGTGGTGTGATTACTTACATCAATTCCAATAGGTGTATTCACAAAATGGCGTTGATTGTTTGACTGTCGTTTGTCACCCCAAATTCTCCCGCTTTCCTCTTACTGCCATCACTAACTTATACATTGCACCCCAGTGTAGATTGTCAGACATTGACACATTTTATGATAGTTTCCTACCGGTTATTGCCCCATCTCTTGCTGATAACTTACACCAAGGAGCTGGTGACTTTAACTACGCACCCCCTGCACCCTTTATTTTGTCTAAACCTCAGTGACCTGATTACTGAACCGACTAGAGGAAACTCTCACCTAGACCACATAAGCACAAAGCACGCTGACACCTTTTCCACCCTAACAGTTATCCCCCTTAGGCACCAGTGACCACAACCTGATCCTGGTCAGACCTAAGATTTACTCACACTCAGGACATTTTTCTGTTAGTCGACACAAACACATAATGTTTCGTCAACGAGATCTTCCCCAGACAATATTGCCTTGCTGAGAGAGTCTCTTAAGGTAGTAACCGACTGTTTTCTCTTAAACACAACCTGCTTGTCAAACATGACATTTCTAACCGAAGTGTTAAACTGTGTTTTTGACATATGCTGTCCTGTGATAACTTTGTTCCTTCCAGAAGGCAGAATATCAACACCTTTTCTTAAACGTCTTCGCCGTGAAAAGGAACGCACATTTAAATGTGGCAGGAGGGCCGATCTGCAACGATTATCACTTCTGATCAAGAGTGAAATAAGACGGTTGGACGCCCTTTATACAAGTCAGTTTTTTGGGACGAGGAACTGTAAATCTATGTGGCGTGGAATCCATCAACTCTACAGGCAGAAGAAAGTGATTTCCAGTCCCTCTATTGATATTGAAAAACTGAATGCTGCATTTATTCATTCTTCGCCCGACACACCCCAGTTATGTTGATTCCAGTTCTTCAAACATCCAACCTTCGTTGGATCCCAACACCTCTAGTAAGATGTATAAACACATGTGTTCCCTCAAGGTGTTGACACACCTGGTCCAGACAACTTAAGTCCCACCCTTCTTAAACACGGTGCTCTGCCACTGTTTCGAATTTTTGCACACAAAGCTAATCTTTCACTCGAACTCCGAACTATTTCAGACTGCTGGCGCCCAGTGAGAATTACTCCCATCCCAAAAGGAACGTCAAAGGCCCCAATAGCGAAGCGTTTCAGACCAATTGCTCTCACCTCGTCTGGTTTGAAATTGATGGAGTGATCAGTTCTGTACCGTCTTCAGTTATCCCTTACTACCTCCGATGACACTTACCAGTTTGCACACAAACATAACCACTCTACATTAGATGCCGCTTTTTAATAGTTAATTTCATCTGTAAGTCCCTTAACGAGAAAGCCGAATATGTGCATTGTGCGTTTCTGGGCTATTCTTCCGCTTTCGACTCGGCGCCCCGTTCTCTTTTACTTAACAAGCTCCAATCTTTTGGCTGTCCCGCTTCTCTTCTTGAATGGCTTACTGATTACTTTTCGCCAAGATATTAGTATGTTAAATTAGGAAGAAGACAGTCAATCGCATCACTCAATATCTCTGGTGTACTTCAAGGTACTGTCCTATCATCTTATCTTTTTTTGACTTATATCAGTGACTTACGTAATTCTCCCGCTATTCGACATTTCAAGTGTGCTGATGATATCGCCATTTCTGTTCCCGTTTCTAACCAATCATAACTGATAGAATATAACACAAACCTATACCACCCCCTTTCATATTCCACTTCATCCGATCTTAATCCTGAAAAATGCCTTGAATATATTTTTGCTCTAAACCGTTCTCCATCTCCCTCCAACAATGTCCAGATTCATGGAAAGCGGATGAGCAGGGTCAGCCATGTGAAGTACTTAGGTGTCACACTTGAAAGTTCTTATATACTCAAACTGTTGCTCGCAAGTCTCTCTTTTCAAATAAGAAGACTGCTCCACTTCTGTTCTGACTTGTCGGTGATAAACGCTTTCGTTCAACAATGTGTCTTCCCTATACCCCTTTACTGCTCCCCTGTCATTTTCTCTGGGTTGCTGAGGCGTGGCGTTTCAATGATCAGTCGTGTCTCCCACGTTCCGTTATCTGTTCTGATTTGCAATATGTTCAATGCCCATATTGATGCGTGCTTGAGGTTTGCTGACAATATCTGATTGCACCCATTGACCTGTGTGCATGTAAATTGCATCCCTCCACCCGTTCCAAATTCAAACTTATCCCGTCTCGCATGTCCGCATACAGAAACTCTTTGGTAGCCTATCTTGCCCGGATACTACCGACAAGGAAAGTGTTTGCTCTGTGCTTTCTAATGCATTTAGTAAGTAACTCATATATTTGTATATTTCACATCCCACTTTTTCACCCGTTTTTACCAGAATTGTAATGGTGGTCTATTTTTGGTTGAAAGCTTGTATATAACCCGCTAAAGCAATACAATACAACCGTCCTACAGAAGACCAAAGGGCACTTTGTTGAGCGCAAATCAGCATACTTAGTAACCACTCCTTCTGGAGTCCGGTCATTCTGGGCAACTGTTTAGGCAGTCTCCCGTAACTTCTGTTCCACTAACTTCCCACCAGTTGTTAAACTATCTGGTGACTTAATGTCTGACCCACTTGTAAAAGCCGAAGTGTTTGCCTCCCATTTTGCTTCCACTGCTACCCTACTCGAATCACCCATCCAACCTTCCACATACCCAACGGCGAACCATCTTTTCACACCGCTCATTCCCACCAGAAAGATACGGTGGTGGCCCAGTGGTTAGATTACCAAATTCTGACCCGGGTTCAAACCTTTCCACCACCACCCGTCTTCCCCATTTCTGTATTTCCCAGGTAGTCTTTGTATGACCGCGGTCCCCTTCCTGAAAGTTGACTATGTATATTCAATAGATAAAAAGGAAATGAACAGACACTTAAATTTATTTAGTTATCACTGGAACCACACAAACCACCTGCATCTGATGGGATTCCTCCCAATCCAGTGTAGGTCGCGTTCGGCTTCCTGCATAGGAACCCCAGAGTCATCACAACTATTGATTATAGACACTGAGTAATATAGCTGAGTGTCGCAAACAACGGCGCTCATGCACCTCGTCCTTGCAACCTCAGTCTATGTGAATTCTCTATCTTCCAAAACCAGCACACGAAAATGCATGGCTTATGGTTGATCTATCTTCCCTTTGACTACTCGTAACATTCCATCCTTCCTTCTGCTTTCTTATCCAATTGGGCAGTCATGAAACAGCAACTAAACCTGGAGCACGAAAGTGTATAATTAATGTTTGTAAAAACAATTGTACTGAAAATACGCATCATGTATTTGTACTTACCTGTTCCTTAGCCTCGTTTGGACTTGTTACTTCTGTCTTTTCTTTAATTGCAGTGGTAGACACTTCTGATTTTGAATCTCTTTCGATTGGTTTGGTGACTTCTGGCTTGTTTTCCGTTATTGCCGGAGGAATGCTCAAGCTTCCTTGCATTAGTGCCGATCCGGCGGCCATACTCAGTGAACTGTCCTCTTCTAGTAATTCCAGGCGCCGATACTCGTAGTGACGTTCTTGCACAGCCTGTGGCAGTTCGAACAAAGTACGTTCCCATGAATTGATCTTGCCACTTAATCAAACGTCAAGCTTATTTATTCTGGTGACACAGGCGACTAAAATGGTCGATGACAAAATAAAATCAGTTGAGATAGCAATGCATATCGTCCGTCACATCATCAGTTTTCGTTCGAGAAGGCCAACTTTTTAGCTGAATTAGGTGCATGATGCCATGAAAGTGTGGCCAGGATAGGGGTGCACTACCGGACGCAGCTCCAGGTCAGCGATAGAAGAAAACTGGCTTATAGGTGGACGCTGCTTCACCAAATTAGCGATCACATATGGTCAGAGGTAGGATCTCGCGATATGACTGTTTTCGCTCGGCAGGTGCCCTCTTCAACAAATCCACAGATGCATATGGGAATCTTACCTAGCCATCGAGGTGTAGAGACACAAAGCCCCTTATCGGGGTGCTGAAAACGGAGGCAGCCGTGTATCTGCGTAACTTGCTTGCAACATATGTCTACCTGAATTCTTCATCTTCACCTGGATATCGCTTCCGGGTTTCAAGTACGTTTTTATTACACACGCAGCCGACGGGGGAAGCCCCGCAGTCCGGATGCTGTGCTGTTCAGTGATGAAAGCCGGTAACCTAAGTTCCGGGACTTGGAGTGGTGAACCACATAAGGCCCCCGTAGATTAGGCGTAATATTGAGCCGGATGACAACAAAGCTGTCGACCACGATAGTTGTGTAGCTGTGGTGGGGCATGAACCTCGGGCCGTATTGTCCAAAACACACCAGTGATAGCGACCGCTGCGCCATCACCATTACCTCTATTCCACCAGCCAAATTACGGCCAAGAAAACCGCCGCACGAATGCGCATAGTTAATGGTTGTAAACTCGTGCAACCGGCAGGATTGATTTTCTACTTCACGCCAGCTCCTTCTTCATTACACACCTAAGTGTGATGAACAGCAGACGGAGCGAACTCCATTGTCACAAAGATCTGCTGTTCAGTGGTGGAAACCGGAGACCTAAGCCCCGGTACTTGGAGTGGCGAACCACATAAGTCCCCGATAGGTTAGGCATGGTATTGAACTGGACGACAGCAGAGCTGCCTAATAAAAAAGTCGAATGGCGGTGGCGGAGCTCGGACCATAAGGTCCAAAGCACGCCGGTGACAGTAGCTAAACGACTGCGTCACCATCACCCTATGTTAGAAACCTTCAAACCACCCTGTCTTCGAATAATGTAGTCATGTATTGAATGGACTTCATGTTCAAGACTTTCTCTTCTTGATCACGTTCACCAATCGGTCATCGGGTCGGACAGTTGTTCTATTCAAATATCTTGTGTTTAGTCACTAGCCTATTGTCAGGCAGTTGCTTCCCCGAACCTTCTATAATAATGCGATTTTGAAACATTTGCATCCCGTAATGAATTTAAACAGACAAGTCTCAGTGTTTGTCTTCTAACTTGCCTATTCTAATGTGATTTTGCTTTGTCTTTCAAAGCTTGCATCTGCATTTTTATTTCCCGTAGCGTTTGCCCGCACATGCCATTCACAAGCGGCTGATCATGTTTATTAGATACCTGTTATTACGTGTCGTGGTCCTCACTTTCCCTTATCTCTTCCCCCAAAAAGTTAATGTAGAACACTTTTACTCCCAGTCTTCCCCTGTACTTACAATATTTCACTCTTTTGAACGTAGGATAATTGAACTGACTCTTGTGTGATCGGTTTCTCTCGCTTCTTTTCACAGTATCGGGTTTATTTCTTATGTCTAAATGAAATATGTACTAAAACCAACAGTCCTAGCGTTCCCGCTATTCTAATGCGTCGACGAAACAGTCACTGAGATTAATAGAATCAGGTTTTTTAAGCCACAACGTGAGTACCAAAACACAAGATTTCGGTGACGTGTTTTGGTACTCACGTTGTGGCTAAAACAAACCTGATTCTATTGTTACCATGAGCACAACGCCCAAATTTTTCGACATGATCCGGAACATCTATGGATTAATAACTGTTTAGTCACTGAGATTACTCTAAAAAATTGGGCTCGTCTATAACTGCGTTTCCTTGCTTCCCCTGCCATTACATAAATAGCTGTACAAACGATTTTAGAGTTGATAGTCATCGAAACGCGCTGGTTCTATTTAGGCACGATATATTCTGGACCGATTTAGCACCCTTTGACTGAGCAGAGTTTGCGTGCGTACACCTTTTACTGAATCTAGACGAAGGTGAAATTGCTATCGCGATTCAAATAGCTTGTGCGTAATCTTATGCATCCGTTTCATCGACGATTACAAGGACATATGTAAGTTATATTGCACACTAATTTCGACCAAAAATGCAGGTCACATGTGATTTGAAGTGTTTTTTATCACAAACCACTGATCAGTGAAATAACATTTTGCTTCATCTTCGATGGTATCGAAACCTGTACAGTATTCACATTATTTACAAACTTCGCTTACCTCTCGAATCAATCCGTCCATCAGTATTCGTGCTCTTTTCTCGACGTCCAGTTCTTCCTCTATTTGTTCCATCAACCACGGTAAAAATCCGGTTTCCACATCTAAATAGCATACAAGTATATCACAAACGTAAGAAGACATGTGTGGGCAGAATTGACATTTATCATCAATTTCGCGTACTTTTATTCAGATTTAAACGCACATTTATATGGTCATGTCAAACGAAGAAACATGGGAGTCGAAACGAGTCATTCGAAATAGGTGGTGAGTTGCGTGATTTGGGTTTGGTTATAGACTAAGGTCCACTTGAATGAAAAATTGGATATGAAAGTGGTTCAAACAATGTGGCGGTGGGAGAGGAAGGAAAAAATCGTGTCACACATAGTAAAGTGATACCAAGCGTGACATCCTCACTACCACAGAAATAACAATTGCGTCACAAAAGTTTATTGAATACTTGATTGCGGCCTCAAGCGATGAATAATTACCGTTTCCAACAACAACAGATGCCATCATTTTTATGTAGATGCTTCAGATCCGGATTCTTGTTTATCACGTCATTCAACATTGTGTCGAAATGAAAATATTTTTCAGTCCGCTGTTCCCTAAAAAGGCTTGCTTCTGCAGTTTTCACTCAGAACAGTGTATTCCATTGTTGTGCTATGAAGCGAATCAACTTACCGTGTTCCACCGGATCGTAGAAATATCCATTATCACTCAAGATTTTAAACACAGCATCCTGCAGATCTGCCAGATAAGCGCGCGAAAACGCCTGAGCAGCCACCTTGGCGGCCAGCTCTCTTTCTCTCTCAGCAACACGAATGGCTTCGGCCTTTCGTTTATCCTTTTCTTCCCTGGAAATTAACCGGAAATGGTTTTGTCAAACAAATTGTGTACCATCGCTAACCGCAGATATATCTCTTACCCTGGTTTGACAAGTGGCACTCACCTAAGACGTCTATCTCGCTCCATTAAGCGTTGGACCTCAGCTAGTTCAGCTTGTCTAATCTCCTCGAATGCTACTTGCTGGTCACGGATGGCACCAAGTTCTTCTTCCTCGGCAACTTCCAGTAGAGCCTGTTCAACTGTTTTCCCGATTAGCACCTCCAAGATTGGTATAACTTCAAGATCGAAGTTGAACAACTGTGTTGAGATAAACGCGAAAATATAACTTCGGCAAAATGGCATAAGTTGCTTGCGAAAGTAGCAAGAATGGGCTTTATAATATGGGAAAATTTATCCCGCCTGTCTCAAATCCTCTCAAGTATCACTTTCAATCATTTTCTGAGCAGTTTCGATACAATTACTCTATTTAATGGTTCAATGTTCTCAGACGGTTCTTTCAGTTTTAGTTAAGAATGCTATTCATACAATAGAGAACTCACATCGCCTTCGTAGATTTGAGTACTGGTATCCTCACCCGATTTGGCAGGGACGAACAGTGGAGTATGAGGCCGATCGAGAAATTTGTCCGTTTGACAGTCCACATCAGTCTCTTCCAAAAACTCAGACAGTTCTTCCAGGTATAGCTCTGTTTGGATGGGTTTGTGCAGACGTCCTTCAAGTGGCATCGGCGATGTTGGTCGAAACTATGGATTTGAGATGTCGATTTTTAATTATTAATTGCCAATTCGGTTTTCTGAATACAACAGTGCAGTTGATGAAGCATATTGTCAAAACAGAGCTTAAAGTAGTAAACAAGTTGCAGTTGTGAAAAGATGCAAAATTTTAACTTTTCAAACGTTCATTGCAATTTGTTCTGTGTGTTTGATATGTTTTCTCTCAGAACACTTTTTATCTTCATAAGTTATTCTGTTTCATTCGTCCGCTGTCTTCATGGTGATCAAATAGTTACTTCAGAAGTTTTCAGAACGGAACAGATGTCAGATCAAATAGCTGCAAAGAGATGGGGAAATTTCGGCTGGTGTGAGAGGATAGGTTTGTTTAAACATAATTTTAGGGATGTTTGGATAGTAACCAACACCGTCACCCCAAAAGGCAATCAAATCAGTTTTTATATGTTGTGATATTGAATTTTCCTCCGAGATACTCTCAGGCGCATAACGGCATGACTTGATAACGCGAACACTCTTGCACCACTCCACCTTCGTAAAACAATGCAAACAGTGACGATCGAAGAACCCAGTCAACAATTGTTTGCCATACGTAATATTAAGGTCTTACAATTGTCAAGCTCAAGTGATCACACTTAAGAATAGCATACGCTTCCGTTTAATGAGATGCTACGTCGACACCAAAAGCTCTTCAGTCTGCTTTGTGCCGCTCAAGGCTTCACCAGCCTGACGGTTACTTAGTTTGTTGCTGCTTTTCGTTGTATAGCGNCCAGCCGATTTCTGGCCTTGTTAGCATCCCTCTACTCTAAAGGCACAAAACACTAACGAGAGTGAACGGTTTGTTAGTCACTGAAGGGTGTTTCATATATTTGAACAAACTATATTATCAGTCTACACTCATCATCATCCTGCAGCAAGATACAGTGAAGTAAACCTCACTGATCGCTGCCAAACTCGCAGTACATACACGGCTACTGATAATATGTCAGGTGAACAGGGATTGAACCTATTTTGAGGGGGGGGAAGGAAAGCTACTATGGTCAACACGCAGATTACGCAATCTAACTGTGTATA